CCATCCATCCATCCATCCATCCAGTCTATCATCTATCCATCCATCCATCCATCCATCCATCCATCCATCCATCCATCCATCCATATCTATCTATCTATCTATCTATCTATCTATCTATCTATCTATCATTCTATCATCTATCTATCTATCTATCTATCTATCTATCTATCTATCTATCTATCATCTAATTGATCATCTATATCATGTGTATCTATCCTATCCTATCCTATCCTATCCTATCCTATCCTATCCTATCCTATCCTATCCTATCCTATCCTATCCTATCCTATCCTATCCTCTCTCTCTTTCTATCATATATCTTCATCTCTCTCCCTCCCGACCCCTACCTCTATGTCATGTATCTACCAACAGAGAGAGAGAGACACATATCTACTGTATAACACATTTTTATAAAGAATATGAAACAGACAAAGAGGCAATTTGTAAGTGCTAACACCTGCTGATCTATTTCTCTAGATTTGCTGTGTATAAATCAAATTTATATCAATTTATATTTAAACATATTTAGAACGAAGAGTGGGACACAAATGCTTGGCAGGCTTAAAACCAGTAATGGGGCACGTGACGTATTAAAGATCAATATTGACTGTTCATTGGCAGAAGCTTTGCTGCAGCGTGAAAGCAAAAAACATCTGTTTATGGAAGAAGAATAAGGCAATAATAACGGAGGTTTCAGACAAAGGAGGCTTCCCTGATACTGTATATTAGCCTCGGGAGACTGCAGGTACCTACGGCTAAATTAGATTAATTTTTAACCTTACCAAGCAAAAGGTTTGTTCTTTTGTTTTATTCTTTGGGATAGTGTAATGGCCTGCCTGGAAAAATGGCATAGCACAGCTAGTCCTTGACTTATGACCACAATTTAGCCCAAAATTTCTGTTGCTAAGCAAGACCATTGTTAATTCATATGGCAGGAGCTGTATTGGCGCAGTGGTTAGAAGGCAGTATTTCAGGCTAATTCTGCTGGCTACCAAGAGTTTGATCCTCATCGGCTTAAAGTTGACTCAGCCTTCCATCCTTCCGAGTTCAGTAAAATGAGGACCCAGATTTTGGGGGGCAATAGGCTGAATCTGTAAACTACTTAGAGAGAACTGTAAAGCACTGTGAAGCAAGATATAAGTCTAAGTGCTTCCTTCCTTCTTCCTTCCTTCCCTCCCTCCCTCCTTCCTTCCTTCTTTCCTTCCCTCCCTCCCTCACTTCCTTTCTTCCCTCGTTCCTTCCTTCCTTCCATGGTGCACAGTGGTTGGAATGCAGTATTGCAGGCAAACTCTGCCCACTGTCAACAGTTCGATCCTGCCCATGCTTTTTTTCAAGAGGCAACTGGACTTTCTTGTTTTTCTTTGAAAGTACAGTTGCCTCTTGAAAAAGCACCTTTGCAACGATCAGGAGCAGAAATTCTCTCCCACTTCTGGAAAGATGTGTGCGCTTCTGTTCCAAGATTTTTAGTAGATGGGTAAATTACTAAAGTAATTATTTATCAGATTTAGTTGAGACTGGGATTTCCGGGGAAGAAATGATGAACTGAAAAATAGTGGCTGAATGAAGAGCCAGCATGTAGAGCTTATTCCTCTCCAGACAAGGAGAAGGCCTGAGATCACCCACAAGTGCTCCGGATGCTTGCTCCTCACAAGAAGGCACCATCTCCAGATGGTTTAGAGCTCTGAGAATTAAAGAAGTAGCTATCTTGCTTAAAACCCTTTATGGATCCTCGGTAGCGCAGTGGTTAGAGTGCAGTATTGCAGGCTATGTCTGCTGATCACCGGCTGCCAGCAGTTCGGCAGTTCAAATCTCACCAGGCTCAAGATTGACTCAGCTTTCCATTCTTCCGAGGTGGGTAAAATGAGGACCAAGATTGTTGGGGGCAAAAGGCTGACTCTGTAAATGGCTTAGAGAGGGCTGTAAAAGCACTGTGAAGCAGGATATAAGTGCTATTGCTATTGCTAACTCTGCCCACTGTCAGGAGTTCGATTCTGACTGGCTCAAGGTTGACTCAGCCTTCCATCCTTCTGAGGTGGGTAAAATGAGGACTAAGATTGTTGGAGGTGAGATGCTGACTCTGTAAACCGCTTAGAGAGGGCTGTAAAAGCACTGTGAAGCGGGATATAAGTCTAAGTGCTATTGCTATTGTGCATTTCCTTTTCTAATCACTTTCAGGAATTGCTTGGCAATTGCTTTGTAATTATAAGGAATCTTTGAATTGACAGATTTCACAGCACCAGGTGACTTTCCGTCAATCTTTAGTGAAAGACATTTTAAATACAATGTGTGTGTGGAATAAATAGCAAAAGGGAGATTAGAGTGTTAATTTTGCAAACTTACAAAAAGAGTAAGGGTCCAAAGTTAAAGTTTTGAAGAAGAACTTTGTGAGAAGGGACAAAGAAAAAACGAAGTTTAATTTTAGGAGATTATTTGAAGGGATTAAAGATTATTACAAGTAAAAAGAAGGAAGATAAAGTTGGTTTATTTGTTCAGGATTAATACAGATACGTTATCTCTGGTAACTCTTAATGAACTTTTGATCAGGATTGGAACGGTGAGACTTTAAGGATTTGCTTATAGATAAGACATGAGATTTGGGGGAAAGAATTCATTTGTTGTATTTTAAGGGTAGATGATAAATTCCTAAAATTCTTTTACACTTCTGAGGAAAGAAAATCATCCCTTTATATATTTCTTCTTTTTTACTACATTTCTATATTTTCTATTTTTATTTCTATTATTTTCTTTTCCACACTTTTTAAAGTTTTATTCACTTTTTTTTTTTTAGTTTGCCTTAGGTTTTATCTTTTTAGTTGTAATGTTTAATAACATTATTATATAAAAATTAGTTGAGTCTGGCTTGATTCTAATTCACATGTAAGAAAGATGGAATATCTGTCTTGTTTTTTAAAGCCAGGGGAATGTAAGTGATGAAGGCTTCCTTCGGTACTAAAATGTCATAGATGTATAATTCAATTCCATCTTAAGATCAGGTAAAGAAAATCTCATTTGTTACCATGGATACGAGACATTATTTCCATTTGTTCGTTAGAGGCTTCATACTGGGTACGAAATTAAAGTGTAACGGAGTTTTATGGGGAAAATTAGCTCAGAAATGGATAAGTATAATGGAAGAACTGCCATTAAATTGAATGGATTTTCATTTTCAGATCATATCAATTGCAAGATGGTTACTGCAATCCGATTGCTGACATCTAATAGTATGTATGTATGTACCGTGTTTCCCCGAAAATAAGACATATCCTGAAAATAAGGCCAATCGGGCTTATTATACACCAACTACGCACCCCACTCCCGCGGCCAGGCATGACAGGCTCCTGCCCCTCGCTTAGCCACCTGCCCCCTTTAGAGTGCAATTTGGGGGTGGCAGGTGGGGCAGGCGAGAAGCGGGAAGCACGTCTTACCTTTCCAGCACCGTCGCATTCCTCGCCATTCTGTCCAGGGAGACAAGTTGTAAAAAAAACTTTCTCGCGAGTTCAAGGAGTTTGGCTGAACTCGCGAGAAAGGTTTTTTTTTTAACAATGTGTCTCCCTGGACAGAATGGCGAGGAACGCGACGGTGCTGGAAAGGTAAGACGTGCGCCCCGCTTTCCCCCACCCCACCTGCCACCCCTCTCAATAAAGAGACGGTGGGGAAGGGAAGCAGCCCGGCTGCTGTTGCCATTGGGGGTGGGACGGGACGTGTTGGGCTGCGAGACTGCGAGCACCATCACGTTCTGTCCAGGGAGATATGTTGTAGAAAAAACTTTCCCACGAGTTCAGCCAAACTCTTTGAACTTGTGAGAAAGCTTCTCAGAGGAGCCCTGTCATACCCGGTGGGGTGGCAGAGAAGAGATGGCAAGGGGAGCCACGTCTCGCTCCACGCGTCTCGTTTCTCCTCTGCCCCACTGCCAGAAACTGTTCTGCCCCAGCTACGGATCCCAAAGAACACAGCACACACAAACTCTGAACCAAACTTAGTTTCCTCAAATAAAGCAGTTTTAGCAAATGCCGGCTGTTAATAAGCGTTCTTAACAGCCTGCCAGAATTCCACAGATAAGATAGTCAGAGTCTTACTGGAGTTGGCAGAAAGCCCAGAAGCAAGGTTGCAGAGACATCCCAATGCGATGATTAGTGAACTAAAGTTGTTTCCTGCAGCTTGTTACAAGCTGCGTTCTTTCTTAAATAGGCTAAGGGCGTGGCCAATTAGCCCCAAGTCTTACTCTCGAGGAGGCCTCCTCCTTAGGAACCACTCCTGTCTTTTCGCAGCTCTGCATGCCCGTGCATTGAGAAGAGGCTCCTCCTCTTCATCCTCTTCACTTAAGGAGCCTCTGGAGGTTCTGAAGGCCCTGGCTGAATCCCTGCCTCTGGCACCACATCTTCTCCAGCCTCCTTGCTGTCTGACTCAAGCGCCGGCTGCACAGGCTGCTGGCGCAGGACCACACCAGCTTCCTCGTTGTCGGGATCAGCAACAATCCGCACAGGCCGCTGGTGGGCCACAACAGAAACGAGTCTTTGTGAGACTCGTTGCACTGCCACCTCGTAGAGCTGGACTCTGCAAGGCTTGTGCCATTGTATGCAGGAACTGCAGCACAGCCACGAGGTTTCACATACTGGCACAGCCGCAAGCGGCAGGACACCAGCTGTGCCGGTATGATGAAGCTCATGGCGGTGTGGCAGTTCATGTATACAATGGCACAAGTTACAACAGGACTGGGAAAAGGCACTTATGACCATTTTGTGAATTCTAGTTCCCCCTTATCTATGAAAGCCAGCTGGGTGAATTTGGACCAATCACCAGGAGTCCATGAGTTGTAGTCCTGCCTCAGGTATGAAAACTAGCTGGGTGGCTCTTGGAACAGAACTCAGCCTTCCTACCTGCCACTTCACAAGTGATGGCACCCAACCTGGAGATGTTTCTCCATTCCTAAGAACACCATCAAACTTCAACTTCCCACCGAACAAGATCGGGACAGGTTAAGACGTGTTAAGCAGATGTACCTGTTGCATTCCTTGGACCGTTTGCTGCAAAAACTGGAGTTGCTGATCTTTTGTCAAGCTCTCCTCGGTGCGAAACAGCTGACCCTTCTCTTGCTTGAGAAGTTCCACCTCGTTGCGGTAGGCATCGAGTTGCCATCGGAGACTGTCGTTCTCTTCCTTCAGGGCGTAAGCTTGAACGGCTAAGGCTGAGAGAAGGAACAGGGTCGGTAATTAAGACAGAAGAACAAGATCTGACAGATGTTATGCTGGGACAAAGAAAGGGACAGGAAGTTGCAGCTGCTCCTGTCAAAGAAATGAAATCAATGCTCTCTTGAGTTGGCTTGTTGACTCTGTCTTCTTCTGCAGGATTATAGCAGTCTGTGAATTAACCAGGGAATGTCCAAGATCAACTGTCCATTAGATAGAAACTTCTCTGTCTTCGGTCCTCTCTGAGCTTGGTTGTTTTCCTATAGACGTTTCATTACCCAAATATCATCACTGCTAGTAGAGAGTCATAGCTAGCACTGATGATGTTACCTAGTTTAGTGATAAAACACCTGCAAGAGAACACCCAAGACCTCACAGTCCTCCTCCTCCTCTTCCTCCTCTTTCTCCTCCTTGTCCTCCTCCTCCTCCTCTGCTCCTCAACCTTCCCCCCTTCTAATACTGATGATGCTACCTAGATTGGTCATGAAACGTCTGCAAGAAAACAACCAAGCTCAGAGAACACCCAAGACCTAACAGTCCTTCTCTTCCTCTTCCTCCTCCTCCACTCCTCAAACCCTCCCCCCTTCTAGTACTGATGATGCTACCTAGTTTGGTCATGAAACATCTGCAAGAAAACAACCAAGAGCACCAAGGGCCCCTCATTTTAATCCTGAGCTATAATGATTGGCAGAGTTTTGGCAGCGTAACTGCCAAATATGAGATAAACCCAGGAGCAAAACACAGCACACAGCACACAGAGCCTTTTATATAAATAACAGTGGTTTTATCTACAGTGAAATATTTACTAACCTATGCATGGTTAAATACTTTTACAGCTACTGATACAACGAAGAGCAGTGATACACACGACGAGAGAACAAGAAGTACAATGCACGAGGAGAAGGCTTGAGGAGAAGGTTGGAGGAGAAGGGACGCCCTCTAATGGTTTCCTTTAATGGACGTCCTCTAATGGCTGCCTTATTCTATTGCATCAGCTTCCAGTTGCTTACAACTTCTCATCAGTTTACAGCTATTAACTCTTTATATCCTGACAAATATTTTCCTTTATTGGTACTTCTCTGTCTGGTAGACACCCCTCCCCAGACACTCAAATAAAACAGTTTCCATACAGACTGTAAACATGGCTGAGGCTTCTAAGAAAAATATAATCTAATATTATAATTATAATATTATATTATAATCTAATGATTGGATTCCCAAATCCTGATTTAAGATTTCACACCAAGTAATACACTGTTTTTTGCATGAATTCTATTTTCTTTAAGCACCAGGGGTTCAATAACTCAATTCTTCTGCCAAATCTTGGTGGACACGAACTATATTTTACAAGGAAGTCCCTAACTATGGTTGGGTGGGATATTTGATTTTAACCACAGAAGACACACAAATAGAGCTGAACCAAACACTTTTTCTTCTCCTGCAGGAAAAAAAAGCTGAAAATTAAAAAAAATGTATCCAGGATGGTATTTATTTACAGCTTAAGAATGAATCTTAATATTTGGAGGTTTTTAAAATAATGTGTTTATTAATTTTCAACATAAAACATTAAAAGGCAAGCTAGTGTAAAAGAAAAAAGGGAAATGGAATAGCAAAAAAAAAAAATGAAAGGGTGACAAAAACATTTATTTATTTGTTTAATTAATTAATTTGTATATTGCTCACCTCACTATCCAGATGTACTGGAAAATACATCGAACAAATATATAACAAAAATCTCTGACTTTTTTCTAGCACAGAGTTAATAACGATACAACAAGCTCTCTCTACATTTAACTGAAAAAAATAACAATCTTTATACTACCTTAAAAATACCAGTCTTTAAACTATCTTAAAATGCTACTACCCCACATTCTAAAAACCCAGTGTTAATATTTTGGAATTGAAATTTATTTATTTATTTATTTATTTAATTTTATTTATACACCGCCCTTCTCCCAAAGGACTCAGGGCGGTGAACATTGAAATGTTTACATCCTTTTCAGAAGAGTTTATCTTGAACATTACTTCAAGAAAAAGGTATTGGAGCTGTTGCGCTTGGAGAATTTTGACTTGGAATCCAAACATGAAAACTTTAATGGAATAATAGAGTTGGAAGGGACCTTGGAGGTCTTCTAGTCCAACCCCCTGCTTTAACTTCCTGGTTCCTCAGCCCAAGAAATACCAAATATCTTGGTATTTGGTACCGAATCTGCAGAAAAAGATGATTCAATGACGGCAAAAATAACACGTGAAAATGTGCCTTCCTCCTTATTGAACACTGGAGTTTCCTGAACTTTTTTTCTTCATGTACTGAATTAATTTAAAATTATTTCTTATCCTTTTTTTCTGCTTTTGGTCTCATTTATCCAACCATTTTGGTTCACAGATGCCAATACCAAATTCTGATTTTTCAATCCGCCTCCCGGCCTTAATTTGGCTCAATATTCTCCTTGAAAAACATGCCTGACCTTGCAGTAAAATCTTTGCACGAGGAAAAAAAAACCAAAAATATTTCAGATCACAGATTCAGTTCTTTTATGCCCTTAAACGTGAGTTTTTAAAGCGTCTTATTCCGACTGGCCTTCAAAGAGATGGCTCCTTTTATCGGTTTTTAAAGTCTTGAAAACCGGAGTCTCCGTGCAGAAATGTTTCAGTTAATTTTTCTTTTTCTGTTCTTTAGATTCAGCTGCGGGAGCTGAACGTTTATCGCAAATGTTTATTCGCGAGCATTTATCTTATTTCTGAAGCGAAAGGGATGATAAGAGTCCCTCGGGACTGTGGGAGACTTCAACCGTCTTGTCTTCTTAGCAAGCAAATACTGAAGGACTTTGCTTTTTTGAGAGAAAAAAAAATCAACTTAGACCAGCTGCCGATAGCTGTGGATTTCCCTGGGTTGTTTTTTTTTTTTTTCATTTAAACATTAAACCTGATTTAATTTTTCAAGAAAGAGCCAAGTTCAGCTACGAATATTGGTCACCTGCTGTGACCAATTACCGAAGACTCAGCCTGCACAATGAACTAATAAAGATTATTCAAGAAGCTTATCGCGTTTCTTTGTTTAAAAAACAACAACAATTTCTCTTCCAAATGTTGATTTGAAATGTTGCCTCTGTTTTTTAATACGGCTACTCCTCGACTTACGACCATAATGGAGCCCAACATTTTCATTTCATAAACAAGACCGTTGTTAAGTGAGTTTTGCCCCATTTTACGACCGTGGTTGTTAAGTGAATCATTGCAGTTGTTCAGTGAAGAACATGGTCATTCAATGAGTCATGCTTCCCCACTTACTTTGCTGTCAAATGTGGCACAAGATATGAGTCCTGGGACTCTGCAACAAAATGGATGGAGTGGATGATCATGTGACCACGGGGATGCTGCAACGGTTGTTAAGTGTGAAAAACGATCGTAAGTCACTTTTTTCAGGGCTGTTGAAACTTCGAACGGTCACTAAACGGACTGTTGTAAGTCAAGGACTACGTGTAAATGGGAATATTTTGGAGCAAAGGTTCTGTCTCTCTCACACACAGGACCTCTTCACCTGCCTTCAAAGTGTCCTACAGGCTTCTCCACAGGTTAAAAAAAAAAAAAAAATTAACAGGCCACGACTGGGTGATTGAAATCTCACCTCCTTTTTTTTAAATAGGAGGCCTAAAAAATTAAAATAAAATAAAATAAAATTGCTAAGCGAGGTTTTGTTAAATAAGTTACACAGCCGATTTTATGACCTGTTTTGCCACAGTTGTTAAGCAAAGTACTGCCCCAAAGAAGTGGGAGTCAAGCTATTCTCCAAAGCATCAGAAGGCAAGGAAAGAAGCAATGGATGGGAACTAATTTAGAAGAAAAGCAACTTAGAACTAAAGAGAAATTTCCTGATAGTAAGAATAATTCATCAGTGGAACAGAAGTTGCCTCCAGAAATTTTGGGTGCTCCATCACTGGAAGTTTTTAAGAAGAGGTTGGACAACCGTTTGTCTGAAATGGTGTAGGTTATCCTGCCTAAGCAGGGGGTTGGACTAGAAGACCTCCAAGGTCCCTTCCAACTCTGTTATTCTATTCTATTCTATTCTACTTACTCTACTCTACTCTACTCTACTCTACTCTACTCTACTCTACTCTACTCTACTCTACTCTACTCTACTCCATTCCACTCCATTCCATTCCATTCCATTCCATTCTTCCATTCTATTCTATTCTATTCTATTCTATTCTATTCTATTCTGTTTTCTATTCTATTCTATTCCATTCCATTCCATTCCATGTTTTCTATTCTATGTACTCTACTCTACTCTATTCTACTCCATTCCATTCCATTCCATTCCATTCCATTCTATTCTATTCTATTCTGAGATATGAAAAATCCGCCAACGAATGTTAGCCTCACTTTTCGAGTTCCATGCCAATGAAAACGGCGGAAGAGAATAAAAACATACAAAATGCAAAAGGGCTGGAAACATGTTGGCACCACAGAAGCATTACCGCATTAAGTAGCATTGAAAGACACTTAAGTCATTTCCTAAGGAAGCCGCGTTCGACTCCTTTTCAATTTAAAATGGCAGTTTTATTATCGTGACTGATAGCAGGTGTTTGTGGAAAAATCGATTAGTATGCAGAGATGAAAATTACATTGAGGAAATGAATTGCACCCTCTGCAGTGTAGGCTGAAGTTTGTGCTAGCAAAAGGCGGGAGACTATAAAACAGCACTATTTAAATAAATTATTTCGGCGTAAATATAGATAGGGATGAAAAATGTGCTATCTTCCAGCATGTTGGGAACACGGCTATAACTTACAGACAAACCTTCCATTTGCTTCCTCGATTTGGTTACCACGAGGATGGCTTTTCGCTTAGCAAATATCTTGCAAAGTTTAATCTGGGATCGTAATAAAATCCCATTGTCTACAAAGGTGCTGTGATTGAATGCATCATCTCAACCGACTCTTTGTGCATTTGTAATCAAAGGCACATTATTTATTCCACTGGTGTAATTGTCATATGGAATACTATGGAATATTTAAAGGCCGTCGGAGGGAATTTAAATGATTTGATTTCCAACAGGGGGAACTTCTTTAAATATATATATATATCTGACTTTCAAAAGAGCCCATTTTCCCTTTAGAATGAAAAAAAGTGGAATGTTGGAATAATTGCTTTATACCGGTCTACCTCAGTCTGGTACTTTCTGTTGCTGAGAGGGCTGCATTTTAATCGGAGCTCAGAGAAAGCTGCGTTAGATTTGGTAGAGAGTGATAAGTTCTTCGCAATATTCATAAGCAATGGGCCTTTGGCATCCACAATGCATTTCTCACAATGTCCAGGCCCGGATCAGGGAGAAGTCAAACAAATACACAGGATACTCAGCAATGCAATAATCCCGGTTTTACTTCCTTCCCGTAGGCCGGAGCCTTGGTACACAATGAATTTAGCACATAGATCCGTGCAAAGTCAGTGCTGGGAGCTCTCGCCTCCCAGGGCAATTTATAGTCTGGGGCCATGCCCGCTAACCAGCCTGCCATGCCTGCTGTCCACCCAGCATCCGGCTGTCTATGGCTGACATCCGGTCACAGGCCAATGGCAAAGTGCAGCTGCTTGGAAAGCAGCACTGGCTCGGGAGCACCTGAGCGGCTGCAGGGGAAAACAGCTGATGAGCGGCGATGTTGCAGTGGGCCTGTAGGCCGAAGCCATCCTGTTGTTTGCACCGGCCACACACCCTGCCATCTGCTGGTGCCGCCGTGGCTGGATCCAGACAGGGGAACATCCCCCTGACGGGGGGAGCACAGCGGTGCTCTGCCATCACCGCTGGCACTGCTGGTGCCAACCGTGGCCATAGCCGCCCAGGAAAACTCCCCGCTGTCATCGCAGTCATAGGATGCTTCGCCGCCACTGCTGCCACAGTCTCCGCAGCCTCTCTCGCCAGTGAAGACATCCGGTCTGTGTCCCCCACCCCCAGATATGTCGAGCCCTGGATCGGGACTCGACAGCATCTCTTCCTAGAGAGAAGATCTACACCCTGTAAAATTTGTACGGAGAAACATACAAGCGAGAGGAATACAGGCAGTCCTCCACGTACGACCAGAATTGAGGCCAACATTTCTGTTGCTGAGTGAAACATTTGTTAAGTGAATCAAAATAGAGCTGGAAGGGACCTTGGAGGTCTTCTAGTCCAGCCTCTTGCTCAAGCAGGAAACCCTATACCATTTCAGACAAGTGACTGTCCAGTCTATTATTGAAAATCTCCAGTGATGAAGCGCCCACAATGACTGAAGATAAAGTGTTCCACTGGTTAATTGTCATCAGTCACATTTTTTTTCAGGGCGGTTGTAACTTTGAACAGTCACTAAATGAACTGTTGTAAGTCAAGGACTACCTGTATTTTTCTTGACCTGTAGAATTGTCAGGCGCGAAAGACCAAGGTCCGCATGTGAAGGTTCAGTTAAGCTGATTTATTGCTAAAAGTCTATTTGCAGGAATCTTCTCCACCAATAGCCAGCAGCTAGAGGTACAGTAGATAAGGGTAAACAGCAGTCAAAGGAACTTGGACTTGTGGCTACGTAGGGATTCTAGGCTGATCCCTCTTTTCACTCCTCCCTCCAGCCAGTCCTTCTCCTACCAGAATTTTCCTTATGAGGCATTTCCTTCGTTTGTTCAAGGAGAATATGTTTTACTTATTAACATATCCAATTCTTATAATTTGAATATCACCACTTACAAAAAACTTACCTTGTCTCTTCAGTCTTCAATGATATATCAAGAGGTTTTGATCAGTGGAATAAGGAAAATGTTTCTTTTTTTTCCTTTCCTTTGCTTTCCTTTCCTTTCCTTTCTTTTCCTTTCCTTTTCCTTTTCTTTCCTTTCTCTTTCCTTTCCTTTCCTTTCCTTTCCTTTCCTTTCCTTTCCTTTCCTTTCCCTCTTCCTTTCCTTTCTTTTTTCTTTCCTTTCCTTTCCTTTCCTTTCCTTTCCTTTCCTTTCCTTTCCTTTCCTTTCCTTTCCTTTCATGTCTCTCTTCCTTTCTCTTCCTTTCCTTTCCTTTCCTCTTCTTTCTTTCTTTTCTCTCTTCCTTTCTCTCTTCCTTTCCTTTCCTTTCCTTTCCTTTCCTTTCCTTTCCTTTCCTTTCCTTTCTCTCTTCCTTTCCTTCCCCTCTTCCTTTCCTTTCCTTTTCCTCCCCTCCTCTCCTTTTCTTCCCTCAACATAAAACATTTTAGAAATCCATTATTCTAACCACAATAAAACAGATATCCTGTTTTTATTTTTTTTATAAAAGCCAGTATCCAAATAGGGACAGTAGCTAGGCAGAACATTAGATGGGGTTTTTTTTTATTATTATTCCTTTTGTTTCTTATGTCTGATTTGTACAATTTCCCACTCACCTCTCGAATAAATTGCTTTGTGAAATAAACTGGACGTCTGCTTCAGAATAAATGATCTAGCACTGCTTTCACTACTGAACAGATCTCGGCTTTGAGGAGGGGCTGATAAAAAGCTAAATGATGGAAAGCTGGCGGCTACTTTTATGTCTCTAAATATCAGTTATCCTTGCCAGAGAGTAGGAGAGACTGACAAGGATTTAACACTCCACGGAGATGTGAATTTGGAAGCCGGAACATCGTCCCGGGAGAATTGAGGCCGATCGAAAGAGCCGAGAATTAAACAGTTCTAAATTCACAGCATGATCTTCATCTCTTAACAGGCCGCCAAGATTCTTTTGCCCGAAATAATATGCAATGTAAATTATCTCACACTAAGAAGGTCTAGTTTAAGTGGCAGGTGTCACTCACTCGACCCTAATCAAAGAGTAACGCTGAGCCAGACAATAAATTCAGAAGCCTTTAAGGTCATTTCAATGAGAAGCCAATAGATGACTGTACCAAAAAAAAAAAACGAAAAAAAAAACCCAGCTTAGGAAAGCAGTTATTAATAAGACGATGTTGTTTATTACGCAGGTATTAATTATGCAGATATTCAAATTATTTTTAAAATAGTTCTTCTCCCTCGCTTGATTTGGGGAGGGGGGTGTTGAATGGAATTGTGGGGAGTTTACTAGAGGTCTCTCCACAGCAAATGGAAGAATAACGAGATTTGATTGATGCCCGATGGAGACCGATACGGGATTTTCCAAGCTGGTGTAAAGTCTGGAACACCAAGACACCAAGGCACATTGTATAGCTACATTGATCTTTCACACATCTACAAATATGGAGACACCTGAATAGAATCGGGACAGGACAGAGGTAAGGCCAAGCTCTTTCAGTGGGTAATGGGCAAGAATCCGCAATGAGACTATGATGCTCTCTGGAACACAATATAACATCTGTAGTTCAAGATTGACCCCTCAGGAAATTTCATGGCACCCCGAGATGATCACATTGCAACCATACCAGAAGGTGTAAGATGGTTAGCTTCCTTAGATATCAAATTATGACATCTATCCAGAGGTGGGTTTCAGCAGGTTCTGACCAGTTCTGGAGAACTGGTAGTGGAAATTTTGAGTAGTTCAGAGAACCGGTAGTAAAAATTCTGACTGGTCCCACCCCCATCCATTCTCTGCCTCCCGAGTCACAGCCGATTGGGAGGAAATGGGGATTTTGCAGTAACCTTCCCCTGCCACGCCCACCAAGCTGCCACGCACACCAAGCTACGCCCACAGAACTGGTAGTAAAAATTTTTGAATCCCATCAATGCATCTATCCCATTGCAATTCTATGGTTATGCTGATTTTATTGTGGTTTTATTTTGGTTTGATATATTGGCTCCTGTGTTGTATTATCTACATGTCCTATCTGTCTGTCTGTCTGTCTGTCTGTCTGTCTATCCACCCATTTACCCATCTCTCTACCCATCTACCTATCCATCCATCCATCCATCCATCCATCCATCCATCCATCCATCCAACCAGTCTGTCTGTCTATATCTATCTATCTGTCTGTCTATTGATCTATTATTATCTGTCAATCCATCCATCCATCCTTCCATCTATCATCTCTCTCTCTCTCTCATCTCTCTATCTACTGATGGTTTGTTTGAACTAGATTTTTTATATCTGTGATTGCATGATCTCTGTGGATGCCCTAGCTAAATAAATAAACACACCTACACTCGAAATCCCTGGGTACTTTGCTTCAGCCAGCAACCCCTGCCTCTGACACTGAAATACTCATGACAAAGAGATCATCCGGATTAATCTTTCATTCATAATTTCCATCCATTCATTCGCCCGTCCAAGAACTGATTCAACGATTAACTTGAACAATAGCAAGCCAATATTTGCAAGTGTCATGTTTGAATAAGGCTAAAGATTAAGACTTAGCGAAAAAAGGGGCTATCAGGACACAGCAGGTGAAAAAAAAGAAGGAAACAGAATCTAAAATTGATAAATATTTGACTACAGAGATGCCACAAATAGCAATTCAACAAAAGATACGGTGTCATAATGTCAGGCAACATGGTGTCACAAGAAGCAATTAGTCTACAGCACGGTACTAATATAATGTCCAACAATGGGCCAGGAACATCCAATTCAGACAGGAAGGTTCTATGGAAGGATTGTCATGCAAAGAAAAAGCTTTTAAAAATTCATTAATGAATTCTGAAGCGTCTGGACAAATTGTAAAGCTGAACCCATTACATCCAATCTATTTGTTCCTGAATGGCTAATTCTATTGTCATACACAGCTTTGAGGCCAAATCCATCGCGTATGAAATTAATCATTTTCTGATCTCCTAAATCTCCATGACAACTGTAATAATATGTGGGGAGAACTGGTAGGAGTTGGCCAGGCTGAGCCCGAGGGAGGGGTCAAACATGTCATCAGCCTTGAGTTCCTTCGCGCCTACAAGAAATCTGAGTCCAGCCCACCTTGAATTATCTACCACCAATTTGCTTTGACCTTTAGTAGTTCAGATTCTTGTACAGAGCATGAGTTTGCAATAAACGTTTATATAGCAATAGCACTTAGATTTATATACCGCTTCACAGTGCGCCTTTCTACAGAGTCAGCCTCTTGCCCCAACAATCTGGGTCCTCATTTTACCCACCTTGGAAGGATGGAAGGCTGAGTCAACCTTGAGCCTGGTGGGATTTGAACTGCCAAATTGCAGTCAGCCGGCAGTCAGCAGAAGTAGCCTGCAGTACTGCACTCTAACCACTGCACCCCACCGTAGTAGAATATCCATTCTAAACTGCCTGGACTTCCTGATTTTCCTGCGCTTGACAGAACTTCAGAAGACAGGAGGAAGAGCTGCTGACTAGCCAATGGTCAGATAAGACCCAGCTGAGACATGTGTGTGCATGCATGTGTTGAGCCCCAGTCCAGGGCTCGACACACGAATCCGGGGGGAAGTGCACATGAACCTGGGGAAATCGGGAATGGCTGAGGCGAAGCACGCAGAGGCTGACTTGAGCGTGGGTGATGGTGACGGTGGCGAAACGCGGGGCAGTAGACAGACGGGCAAACAGCGACGGCAAAGATGCTCGTGGTTGGGCTTCCTGGCGGCGGCAGATGATGTCATGGCAGGCACAGCAGAGGAGCGTGGCGGCCCATTTGAACCAAGCCGCTGAACAGCTGAGAGGGGCCTGATGCAACCACCGGATGCCTGGTTGCTGGGGGTGTGTGGCACAGATTGTTAAAAGGTGTTGAGAGGTGGAAGCTCTCAGCGCCAACTTTACACTGTTGTAACTCGGCATGGACTAGGATCTGGCTTGTAGCGGCAATAAACCTTTATCCAACCAGCAAGATTGAGTCTTTGGGTTTTGTTCTGTCCCCAACCACACGCACACACACCAACAGACGTTCAAGA